AGGCAACCGCAGTGACTTGCGCGTGAATTAGTTTTAAGTGATAGTAGACTTGCGCTGCATCTACTGCACTCTCTTTTCCCTCATTCACCTGCGCCCGATGTCAAGACAAGATCAAGAAGACCGGAGGCGGGATTGAGCGCATGTTCTGGGCCCGCAAATACGCGTGCCACTACGCACCCCATGCTCGGGATTTGCTATGTGAACGTTAAATACGGAATAAAGCTTGTCGTACACTGAACTGGTCCCTGTGTGGTCAGCGCATCTACAACGCAGGTCGTTTACGGGCACAGAATGATGGTATGCCGCTTATTTCACGTGCAATATTCAATATACCACGCTGGGCAGTCCTGTGAGCGTACTGCGAACCAGAATCCTGAATTTCTGCCCACGTTCTGCACATTATGTACGTGATGAAGTTTGTTAACGTCGAAATTCACTCGTAAGCCCAGGCGGAAAGGCAGAATCGAATTGTATGCTTCATAACCTCGCGTGTTCCTGCAAATATGGATAGTTGCAATGGAATGAGCGGCTCCTTATGGCAGCACTTCCTTCGTTCAGACGCCCTAACGGCAACGATTGTACCAACAGAAGTACTCCAAGTCCCTGATTTACGACTCCGTCAGTATAGTCTTCTCTATTTTACTAAGGCATTATTTGTATTGCATGATACTCTTGCCTCATTAAATGACCCCTTCTTGTCCTGTAGATCAAGTCAGAATCATTCCTCGAGGATCTCAACAACATTCTCAACGCTGGTGATGTGCCAAATATCTATGGTTTCGAGGACCTCGAGGGGATCTATAACGCCATGAAGGTGGTTGTCTCAGAACAGGGTCTACCCGCCACGAAGACCAACCTGTTTTCTGCCTATGTTAAGCGTGTCCGTTCAAATCTGCACACTGTAATTACCATGAGCCCGCTGGGAGAGATCTTCCGAGCAAGACTCCGACAGTTTCCTGCGCTAGTCAGTTGTTGTACGATCGACTGGTACAGCGAATGGCCTGA